GGGAAGGGGTTGCCGTGGAGCCCACGATCGGCTGAGAACGGGGCGCGGGACGCCGCGGTGGCGCGCGCGCGGAGGAGCGATAGGAAGAGCGACGCGGACGCGATCGCGCGGTTCATCGATGACGAGCTCGATGAATCGACTTCGGACGAGGTTTACGCGCCGAAGGCAGTCTTTGCATCGTCGGTGCCGGAGGTGTCGGTCGCAGTGGCTGCGCCGCCGACCAAGCGGTCGCCGTGGGCGGCGCTCGTGAGTTATCTGCGATGCTGCGTCGCGGCGAGCTCGAGCTCGGATATCGAGTTTGAACTGGCAAAAGATGGGCGCACGAACAATGCGAGAGAAACACGGACGAGCCGAGATCTTCGCGCGACGTGCATTCCGTGCGTGGGCGACGACGCAAGCGGCGTGTGCGTCCCGATCGGATACGTCATGCATCAGGGTCCGCCGTTCATCGAGGAACAAGACTGCGAATGGGACGAAGTGCGTTGGCGCGCGCACGCGAGCGAGGTGGATGATGCCGTAAAAAACGGCCGGGACTTGCCCTCGACGCCGCCGCGCTACAAGCCATGTCTAGTGCTTGATTTAGACGAGACACTCGTGCACTCGAGCTTCAAGCCGGTGCCAAACAGCAACTTCATCGTCCCGGTCGAGATCGACGGATCGATGACGGACGTGTACGTGATCAAACGGCCCTGGGTCGATCATTTTTTGCGCGAGGTTGCAAAAGATTGGGAGATTGTTGTCTTCACGGCGAGTGTGCCAAAGTATGCGAATCCCGTTTTGGATCTCTTGGACACTACTAAAGTCGTGCGTTGGCGCTTGTTTCGAAAGCATTGCTACGCGTTTCAGGGAAATTACGTCAAGGATCTCACCTGCCTCGGTAGGAACCTGAAACAGACCGTGATAGTGGATAACTCACCGTACTCGTACGTGTTTCATCCACAGAACGCGTTCCCAGTGACGAGTTTCATCGACGATCCGAACGACAACGAGTTGTTAAACGCTATCCCTTACCTGCGAGAGCTGGCGCGAAGTTCCGACGTGCGAGACGGCTTGAAGCGTACGCGCTCTGTCTCTCACAGAAAATCTTACTTCGGCCGCAAAGGTATCGATGCGCCCACGCTCGACAGATTTGGCATCCCCGTCGCTCAGTGACGTACTACGAGTAAGAGTACTACGAGTACCTGCACACGGTACCTATGCCGGTCTGTTTAGACTAAGTTCTTAGAAGTGATGTGATTATACCAGTACTAGTACCAGTCTGCGTTTCGTTAAACGATCATTTTACATGCGACGGGGGCACTGCTACAACAACAGGTGCTGGCTCGGACAAGACAAAAATCCAGCGTCGTGCGGGGTTCATTCATCCTCCTCTATGGAGAGGAGTGAAAATACATTTGAGTCTTCTACTGGCGTAGGAGAATGCTCGTGAACGATCGCTGCGTGATGCAGTACTTTGTGTTCCTTCTTAACTACTTTCTGCTTTCGTTTAGCGTGATCACGATGCAGCTCAGCGTCGATTTTACGTTCAACCTCCTCCAAGGCTTTGGACGTGTCAATCGGGCGCGCATAACCAAAGATCGACGACTTACCCACGGCGACTTCACCGGAGTCCTTCTCGATACTACGAGGTTTTAGGACCAGTTTCGGTCGATCTGCCGCGGGTTCTACGATTCGTTGCGCCGAAATGTCACCGACCGTCGTCCACTGCTCCCTGTGACTGTTGTGCAAGTTTCTTCGATGCCCGCGATCGTGCGAGTTTCTCTGTCCCTTATCCGTGGACGTCTTGCGTTCCTCAGCGATGTTCACTCGAAGCTGACGGTCACCAATGACGACCCCGTCTGATTCGAGCGCCTTAACGAGCGCGTCCGAGGTCGTGAACTCGACGAAGTAACCGCGCACCTTGACGCCGCTTCGATGCGTCATCGGCCGTGCGTTCGACACGCTTTCTATCGCCACCCCGAGCGCGTGCAAGACTTCATCTTTGCTCGTATCAAACGGAACGTTCCCAACATACGCCACGAACGGCGGTTTTTGCGGAATCTCCCGACGCTTCGAGTGTTCGTCGCTCTCGTGATACCAGTTTCCACCACTCGCCTCCATCGCGCGAAGGATCGATGAAGTCCCTCGTGTAAACGCCCCTCACCTCGCGCCCTTCACCTCGAGCTCGGTCTTTATCGACGCTGTAGATATAAAATTATCTCCGTCAGTAGACGGCTCTCTCGCGTCCATTACGTCGTCGCGTCGACGCGAAACACCGCGTCACGTGTCGTCCGGAATTCCCGCGAGACGCGTTCGCCGTCGCGCGATTCGTCGCTTTCTCGCGCCTGCGCTCTCTCACACCGTCGCGACCGAGTGCGAGCGCGTGTGTATTACCTGTCGTAAGAGCCTTTCGCGTGAACGCGTCGATGGACGCGCGCATCGGTGTGTTGAGACGATTGACGATGCTGTAACTGTAATCGAGGCTGAGACGGCGGAAGTAACATGGACCGCTGCTGCGCTGCGAGTGGGTTGCTTCGTGAAGGACGACGATGAGGTCACAATGGAAAGTGTGCATGTTTAATAAAAGACGAGATGGGAAGTTAGAGGGGGCTTACACCGCGAGTCTAGGGTAGCCGAGCTCGGCGTCGAGTCGCGCGTTCGCGCGCGAGCTCGCGCGCGAGCTCGCGCGAGAGCTCCACAGCGTCTCGACCTTGATAGGCAGTTCCTGGTTGGGGTCGCATGCCTTAAATCCGTGGCGAGCGGCAGCTTCGCCGCTCGGTGCGTGACAGTTCCTAGTTTGATCCACCGTACCGACCGGGAGCCAGGCGTACGTGTGCTCGAACTCCGCGCCACCTCGTTCGCATCCGAGCCTGTTGTACAGGTGCGGGTCGCGTTCGATCTCATCAATTTGCTCTTGCGGCACGGTGCCCTCATCGACGTTCACGTCGCTGTACCACTCTGGAACGTACCCACCGAGGTTCTTAGGGCTAATCGGCGCTGTCATCGCAGTGTAACACTTCAGATCGAGTCCGTCGCCCGTCGCAATGCACCGGCCAGCGAGCCAGGCATCTATCATGTCGACACCCTTCTCTGAGCCATACTTGCTGAGTCTCTCCATACCTCTCTTAGTGAGCATGAGAGCACCAGCGCCGGCCCACCCGCAGAGTCTGTCGAACTTGTACAAGTACACGGACTTTGAGTCATTGACGCTGCGCGTTGAAGGATCAATCCAGTCCCCACGTGTGGCGCCTTGCGTTTTGTCGCCCCAAGTTCCAGTCGCCTTGGAGCGGAACTTCTTCACAAACTGACCGGGTCCTCGAGGAGTGTTGACAAGCCAAACCATGTCGGTATCAGCCGGAAGCTGACGTCCGAGCTCAGCGTAGTCGAGTGGGCTAACCGAGTGGATTCCTCTACCGTCTTGCTCCCAGACGACGACATGTTCATCACCCCGCGCGAGCGCCTTCTTCCAGACAGCCATATGAGACAGCTTGGCGCCGAGGTGATGGTGACGGCTTTGAGTGCAAGAAGGAGTCACACAGACGTGATCATCTCGTGATTCCGCGGCGTAGACCTCGTCAAACGGCATGCGCAAACCTTGGCCTCCTTCGGACGAGCCGAGCGGAGGAGTGAACAAGCCCGCAGTCGCGTACTGAGCGACGTCGAACGTGTCAGGCCATCGAGTCGGGAAAGTTGCCCTTGAAATTTCCACCGAATTTTGGGCGTCAACCATACTCATTCCAGCATTCGCGCTCAGAAGATCGACGATATACTGGCGCCCATCGATGGCGGTCTCTGATTCTTCACCCGGCGTAGTGTCGGCGATGATGTAAATGTGCGGCGGCGTGCTCGTGGCGCCTAAAGTGGGTTTCTTGGCGGGAGTACCAGCCGTGAAAGCTTCATAGACGCCAGTTTTGTACACACCGAGACGAGCGGATTCCTTGAGAGTCACACCAGCCGTGCGCTGCAAGACTTTCGGGTTTATCGGGAGTTTAAGGT